CCACCGCGGCTCCCCCGCCAGGCGACGTGCCCGGCGCGCGCCCGCCGGCCGCGGCCCCGCTGGTGGCCGGGGCGGCGGCGGCGGCGGCGCCGCTGCTGCTGCTGCTGGCACTGCTGCTCGCGCTGCTGCTGCTGCTGGTGCTGCTGCCGCTGCTGCTGCCGCCCGCCTCGCCGCCGCCGGCCCCCAGGGGGTAGTGCGCCATGGGGGCGTTGCCGATGAAGAAGACCTCGGCAACCCCTACAGCCTCGCGCAACGCGCGCTCCGCCGCGGCGCGAATGGTCTCGCCCTCCTTGTGAAGCACATGGGGGAACGCCCAGCCGCCGCCGCCGCCGCCCCCGCTGCTGCTGCTGCTGCTGCTGGCGAGGGCGCTGCCTTTTTGCTTGACGAGCAGCACCAGCTTTTCCCGCAAGCTGCGCTTCATCGTCCTGCGACCATGGCCGGGGGAATCGCAAGGGGGGGGGGACAGGGAGGCTGACGCAAACGACGAGCAGGCGGCACCATGGCGGAGGCATTGTGAAGTTGCATCCGGGATGGGGGCGTTGTACAGATGCACGCACAGTGCGCCGCGGCGCACCTGGTGTCGCCGCTGCGGTCGGCCGACGTTTCGATGGGCACGGGCTTGGCGACCTGTGAGAATTCAAAAGTCAATCAAGGGCGAGCGGTGGCAGTTGACGAAGGGAGGACAAGCAGAGAATGGGGATGGTGCCCTCTGTGATCAAAGGGCAGGGCTCGGCGTCATGCCGAAACGTGGCAGGGTCTGCAAGGTGCGTGCTGCAGGCGCGCTGGGAGCGCCCCCTGTGCTCAAGCGGCTGCCATCAGCGCGGGCCCCCGCACCGCGTCATCGTCCTTTCGGGACGACTTCTTGCCCTGCGGCGGCCAAGAATGGAAAGACCGTGAGCGAGGGCGGCTGGCGACTCCGGCGCCGCCCGCATTCATGTGCGTCGACACGTGCGAGCATGCGCCCTCCTGATACCTTCTTGCTCTGCACACCCGGATGTTGTGTCGTGCTAAGCTCTGGCTGCCCCTAACGCTGCTCACCTGGGTGGGGTATTCTTTGTAAAAACCCCTCTGCAGCTTCCGCTGCTCAGACCAGGCCATGTAGTCGGCCTCCCATTCTGGCGCTGGGCTGCGCACCACTGGCAGGCGCTCAAGCACCACGGCGGCGTAGATGGGCTCAGAAACTGGGCCCGTGGTGGCCGCCTGCAGTGGGGCGGATTCGGCGTGGAAATTGCTGGGTGATGGCCCAGCGGCGGCGCGACGGCAGAACAGGAACGTGCGCAAACGCGTACGCACTGTGCTGAATGTGCGAGGTGCATCGCCACCAGCTGCTGCTGATGTGAACGTCCTGCTTTGCCATCCGTGCGCGAACGCGGCCTCGACGCATGCAAGGCGCAGCTGCTCTGCTCGCAGACACTGGGCTGATCTGATAATAAACGACATTGTGTGGGTGACAAGGTCGCTAACGCTTCGTTATGTGTAGACGTTGCAGCGAAAAATGTAGCAGAGTGCGCGCTGCCGAATATTTGGGCGACGCCCACATGACGCAGCTGAGCCCAGATGGGGAGTCTGATGTACGTCATCCTCACAAGGCGCTCGCAGCAAGGCCAGGCAACAGCGCATATGCACATCTCCAGTTGATCAAGTGGCAATACAGTACCGTAATATAGGACGAGCAGGACGTCAGCTGGGGGTGCCTGCGCAGCAGGCGGTCTTAACGGGCTGGCTACAGATGCGTTCTACTGTGACAGGTGACGAGGTGACATGATGGCTGCGGGAGGCGTGGCGTGTTGGCATCGAGGGTGCGAGATGCGTGCAATTGGAATGCGCACTGTGCGTCTGTGGTGGACATTGGCAGGTGGGTGATCAGGCAGGTAGGCCACTTGGCGCCCCACTGGCCGGATGGTACAGCGGACACCTTGATCAACGGCATGGTGATGTCGTACTGCGTCGATACATCTCATTATCCAGGACGCAAATGGCATACCTTGCGATCGCTGACAGTGACGTCCTCACGTTGCCCCCATGCACCAATGTCCCTCGTGCTGCCCGGGCAGCGGCATGCGCTGCTGCTAGATTCTGGGTGACATACGTGAACCAGGTGTCAAAGCGCGATGAGATAAGACGTGATCACAACTCATGCAAGAATTTCTAGGCCATTTTGTGCGATGTTGTCACGAACCAGTTGCGTGTGCAAGGCGCATGAATGGATTGCAACCCACTGCAAAACGCCGAAGCGTGAGTTCGCTGCACGCTCTCCCTAATCGCGAGCGCGCCGCACGTGGCATGTGCAGCGGTTGGTGCTGCAGCAGCGGCACCCACGCCCAGTCCGTACAGCTGTTCAACCTGCTTTCCTCGCCTGTGCCGTGAACCGACACATGGCTTTGATAGCATGAAGCCCTCATGTGTCGAAATTGGCTTGTCTCCTGGCTCCCCCTCCGCATCCAGGTGCCTAGATGCTGACATGACATGCAGCACTACCATGTGCGGACAGCAGCCCTTTCGAAATGACCATGGCCAGGGCCCTGGTATCCAGGCAGCCAGGTGAGAGAAGGCCGCGTGCTCTTTGACTTATGTGACGCCAATGTATACCTCGTGTTTCGGTGGGGATGTGCATGCAGCCTGCAGTGTTCGAGGCCGCTGTAGCTGTTGGGCGTGGACAGGTGCCGGTGGTGTGCATGCGTCATGGCTGCTTGTGCGACCTACCCTGCCCTTCGGCTTCCTGCTCGCTCTGCATTTGATGATTGTCTGCGCCCTACATTGTTCCAGTGGAAGGTTCATCGCGCTCTCAATCAACAGTTACTTTTCTGCGCCCTGCAGACGTCAGCACAGCGGCAAGTGATCTACCACAAAAGCCACTCGTGCCAGCACTTTGGATTGATTGCAAATTTTTTGAATAATCGAGTGCTCCCGTACATCGTCAGGAGACAGGTGAGGCAGGTGGACGCGCGCGTGCTCTAGGTCCTGTGATCAGGCCTTACGGGGCCCTTGGATTGTACCTAAGCGCTCTAATGGACTATGCAAACAGACCGCAATTGCTCCGAGGCTTGAGAGGTGCCATTGGAGTTCCGTGAGATCCCGCGACGAATCATGGCCTACCGTTGCCCCCTCTTCGCCTCAGCCACAGGTTTAACATCGCCAAAATGCCCACGGAAGTTTCTGAGCGCGATGCGGCGCCACGTGCCACAGCCGCCGGCGAGGCCGCCACTGCGGACACCCCGCCCACCAAGCCGGTCTGCGACCCCTCCCTCCCTGTCAAGCTCGACTCCCTGCGCATCTCTCCACCAGACCAGCAACAGCAGCAGCGTCCCACAATCTTCACGTCATCCGACGCCCAGCGCACCACCGCCGCTGCCGTCGCGTCGCAGCGGTCGCCCGCAAGGCCGCCGCCCCTTTCGCCCTCCATGAGCCGCGTGCTGGGGCGGCGCGGGTCGTTCAGCGAGCGCCCGATCGACGTGGTGCGCATGGCCCTGGTCACACAGCGCAACGAGATGTGCTCCCTCGTAGCCAGGTGCGGCCGGCAGGGGGCGGCGGGCTTCGTCCAAGGTTCAAGTATCCTGTTGCATTTTGGGTGCATGCCGCTTTTATTTGCACATCCCTAACCCTCGCTGAGCAGGCGCTCTGCTACCTGTTGCAGCCTATGGCGGGTGCAGAGGCCACACAGAGGCGTGCTGGCCACCATCACGGCTACAAACGCTCAGTGCACAGCATGCACCACGCCGATTTTGGCTTGCGCACACGCGGCCTTGCGAATTCTGCGCCCACACCCCACAGGCGCTGCCACCACCACCGCTTCGCCCATGCTCCCTTCCCACCTGCTACATCGCCTCGCCCCCCCCCCCCCCCAAAAGGATCACCGAGGCGGGCTCGTCCAGCCCCATCCTCATGCCGCACATACTGGTGGACGAGCTCTCCGCCATTGCCGCGGAGACCAACAACTCGGGGCTGATGACGTCGCCCCTGACCACGCTCTTCAAGACCGGCGTCGAGGTCGTCGTGCAGGCGCCGAGGTAAGTGGCGCTCGCACACAGGCGCATGTGCATGGCCGTCTGTGCATGCGCATGCGTCTATGCATGCGCGCGTGCTGCACAAGGATTTGTCCATGCATGCGCGAGTCCTGTGTGCATGTGTACAGTGTATTCGCACATGTGAGCGCAGGGGCATGCACATGCACGTGACCTCTACCAGTTGCCGAAAACAACTTCTCTTGGCCCCACCGGCCCCCGCCGCCCCCCCCCCAAAAGCATCGCCATCGCACTGCGGCCCAAGCCCGGCAGCTGGCTGTACGTCCTGGTGCACTCCGACAACCTGACTGCGGACGAGATCACCACGAGCCAGTACCTCGCGTTCAAGGAGCGCCTCAGGGACGGTGAGGGGGGGCGTGTATGCCAGTGAATCAGGCGTTGTTGGGCCTTGCGTGCAGCCTGCCCTTCAAGGGGCTGCGCGGTCTTGGGGGATGGGGGAGGGGCTGGAAAAAGGTTTGATGTGGTGTGGGTGTGGGTGCAAGTCACTGCGCGACCAGGGTATAAGGGAGTTGAGGATGACTTGGGAATGGTTGGATGGGCGCGCTTGCTTATTGGCTTGCAATGCTTTGCGAGAAGACGAATTGTTTGTCCTGCCAGCTGGGGCGGATGCTGGCTGTTGATTGCGTTGCTCTTTCAGCCGACTTCCGCCCGATTGTTGGCCTGGATTGGGGACGGGCTGCTGCTGCTGCTGCTGCCGCTGCTGCTGCTGTGACTCGCACGCGCGGCCGGAAGCATGGCGTGCATTGCCCTGCGGCAAAGCGGGCCGTGTTTGTGTTGCACACAGGCACTTTGCATCTCGTGGCGACCACTGTTGCACTGCCTGTGTATTGCCTCTCCCTTCTCAAGTGTGTTTTCCACTCAAAGCAATAACCATGATGACCAAGTGCCGTGCGAGGTCCCACATGCACCCCCCCTTGTGGCGCCCCTGGCACAGGCTCTGTGGACGAGAACCCTTACGCTGTGATGGAGATTGACATGGGCCCATTCAACAGGGACCTGCCCAGGATGCAGGTGGGTTTTGACGCTACAGTTCCCCCTGTGTGCACCTTCACTGCGTGCCACGGCTGCTTACAGCCGCATTTCCTGTGATGCCTGACCGCGCCTTTGAAGGAGTGCTCCTTGCTTCGAAAGAAGGAAATTGAAATTACATGTGTTGTTTGGTTGCAACCGCTTTGGCTACTCACAAGACTGGGAAACGCTTGCTGAGTGTTCCTCCCCGGCACACATTCTTCCGCAGATGTCGCGCTCCATCGGCCAGGGGGTGCAGTTCCTGAACAGGCACCTCAGCGCGACCATGTTCGGGGGCCAGGGCTACGGCGGCGGCTACGGCGGCGGCGGCAACATGCCGCCCTCAGAAGGCAAGACCCAGCTGTTCGAGTTCCTCAGGACCCTCAAGCACAAGGTGGGGCGGCGTCAGATAGTGCAGCTGGGGCCGGGGTGGTGCACAGTCTGGTGAGCTGGCTGGGACCCTGCCCAAACGGCACACAAATCACCGCTGGTGTTATTCTGGGCTATTCGCCTTGCGCAGCCAGGGTTTCGCAGGGGTTGGAACCAGGGCGCACCCTTAGTCCCCACACGTGATGTTCACAGCTCATTTGACCTGACACCTGAATCCTCTCCCTCCCCCTCCCCCCTAAAACAAACACCCACCCCCTGCGGCACCTTTCCCCCACCGCAGGGCCAGAGCCTGATGCTCAACCCCGGCAAGCTGGTGACGCTGGGCCAGCTGAGGGACGCGCTGCTCAGGGCCGACAAGGCCCTCGACGCGCTGGATGACGAGGTGGGCAGGGGCCGACTGTTGGGCAGGGTTCAGGGTTCAAGGGCAGTCTGGCACTGGCTGCAGGCTGGTTGGTTTGCATCGGCACTGGCGGAAAGCTTGTCTTGATGCGTTGCGGTGGGTCGTCGGGTTCTTTGAGGGACAATCTAAATGGCTCGTGTGTGGATGGCGCGGGGTGGTCAGGAAAAGGGACCCCAAGACTGTTTGCGGTCAAGGTTTGCGTCTTGGAAAGGGTTTGGGCTTTGAGCGCAGGCTTGGATGCGACGATAGCATGTGCATTGGGCCGCCAAAGGAAGGGTTAGGTTCGGGTTGGCGCCATGGGATGCAGCATGGAGTGGCGAATGACTCTTTTTCGGGCGGCGCGGTCGTCACCATGTTTCGCTTAGCTTTGAGCGTTCAAGGGGGTCGCGGTGGTGCGCTTCAGAGGTGTACAAGGCTTGCGGCACAAACCTGCGAAACACAACACCTCTGGTGCGCTTGCTACCCTGCATGGGGTTGGAAGCTCACAGGTGGACCGGCAGCCTCACTGCGCAAACGCCGCGAGATGATCAATCTCTCTAGCCTGCAAAGCGCGAAGCGCGGGGGGCTTGCCCCGTGCATTGTCGCCCCAAGGTCAACTGACAGCACTCTCCAGCACTTGTGTTGAGCCGGCGCGTGCCGGTTTGCGTAGCTGAGCAGTCCTCTTCTTGAACAAAGTCGTGGGTTTGGGGAGCGGGGGGGGGTGGGGGGGGCGACAAACAGCTTCACGCAGGCACCTTCTTGGCCAGACACCCCCACCTTTACGCGCCCCAGCCCCACGGGGTCTCAACCCCGACTGAGTGAGGCGCCAGGATATAGACGCGAGTGGACACCATCACGCACACAAAGCAACTGGCCCCACTGTTCTTGGTGCCAACATTAGCACCACAGTCACTGCTCTGAGCAGGTGCACCCACTCAAGGACGGTCTAGTGCAGACTCACGAGCTCATTTTCATTGTGTCATAATCTTGTTGATTCGCTTGCATCACTATCGTTATATGCCCGCCCTCCATCCCTTGCCTGCCTTGCCATACCCCAGGTGGAGTGGTCCGAAGTGTCGTCCCGCCTGTACGACCTGGGCTTCGAGAGGGGCTGGGGCTGCGACGTGGGGCGCGTCAAGGCCAACATGAGGCTGCTGCTGGAGATCTTGCAGGTCGGATGATGGGCGGGGGTTGTGCGGAAGGGGTCGTTTGGGGGATGGGGGCAGGGGAGGGGCCAGTTTGACGATTGACGTGGAGAAGGTGGGGTTGAGCCGGGAAGTCGAGGGGACCCTGATAGGGGTGGGTGCGGGGAGCTGGTGTTTTGAGGATGGGAGAGGGACGTTTCAGGGGCGGGGGCGTGGGGGTTTGATCAGAGGTGTGGGGGAAGGTTGGACTGCAGGGATCGGGAGCGACCTTGTGCAGTAAGGTTGCTGGGTGTTTGATCCTGGGACGCCTGTCTCGCCCGCAGCCTCCCAGCAACACTTAGGGGTCTCCCTGGGGAGATGCTGCGGAAAAAGCAAGCCAATTAGCTGGATGGCATGCCTGATGGTGCACCAGCTGGCCAGGCAGGGGAGAGGTGCATATTGACCCCTTGGCCTGCACCCCTTCCCCCAGGCTCACGCGGTGTTTTGCCTGCCCTTGCAGCTTGCCTGTCAATCAGGTACTTCGCAGTGGCATCGTCGCCGCTTCCTCCTCTCCCCCTCTCTTGCAAGGGCGCCCCCAAGCGCTGCAATTCACACGTGTCGGCCCCGTCCACCTCTCCCTTCCCCCTTGCTGCCTTGTCTTTGTCTGATCTAGCCCTTAATCATCCAATCCTCTCCCTCCTCCCCACCCCATCCCTCCCCCCCTCCCC